ATAATTTAAAAAAAAATGAAGTTATATTTTTCACAGCATGACGTCATGATATACTGATGAATATATTATAATAAATTGTGAAATCATATAGAAAATGTAATTAATTATTTTATCATATTTAACGGATTCAATTTTGTAACTTTGTATAAATGTGTAAAAGTTGATTATCTTATGTTTTCTTATCATGTTGAATTGTGCAGTACCCGTATACATATTAATTATTCGTAAAAGGAATAGCGTCTGCAATCGTTGTACATATATATTTAATTAATACAAATAAACAATGCATTGTACAAGGAGAATGTACATTTATAAGCAACTGTTAAAAATACAAAATAGTTCGTAAGTGCTAGTTGTAACGTCGCATTACTCTATTTCTTCTGAAAACTATTAACCAAAGCAAAATTTTTATCGTACGCGTAATACGACGATGGAAATCTATTCTATATATTTATTTTCTTTGTTGTACATACGAGTGCATCGAAGTTCGATTGCACTTTAAAATTTCTCTTACATGCTTTAATTTGTTTAATTAAAACTGATTGTCGGTAATTGTATATGTATCTATATGTACGCGTGATTGCACAGTATTACCGCACGACGCACTATATTGTATTTATAAGAGGGTAATATGCTGTAAAATGTTGTGAAACGAAGTGATTGATTTAATTTTTTTGCAAGCAACTCAGTATTTTTAAAAGTGAGATGACATGCATAAATATGTAGTAACATTTTATTTCGCAATAAATAATAATTATTATATGCGATCATATACATAATTAAATACTTTGTTGTATTTATTTACCTATATATTTCGTTGATCAATTAAGGAGTTTACAGTTAGACTCCTTAAATGATCAAACATTATTTACGAGCAATAAATAATATTCTACCTTGTGTGTGTATATACATTGAATGAAACTTACACAACCACCCAAAAGAGAGAAAAACAAAAGAAATTATTCGATACATTGTGATCTAGTGTGAACGGGCACAAAGAAATAAATTATTCTACAATGAATAAGTTAATACAATTAATCTAGAATTACTTATTACTAGAGATTACATATGCACTGTTTCAGGTCACGTAATAGCACTGCACATTTAATGAATTTATTTTACGTTGAGTAAGTGTTTAATGTGAAAAATTAAATAAAATGAATTTCTCGTGCAATTCGTTGTATGAAACGTGCAAAGTGGTTAGAAAGAGACGTAATTGAAAAATTTAGTATTTACTAATGTCTGTAAATTACATTTGCGATTTTTATTTTATAAACAGCAGACTGCGACGTTTATCCGTACGTTCTTACGGATATTAGGTCCTACTAAATTTCTCCTATTTTAATTGAAATAAAATACATGTACACATATATTAGTTGCATTTGAAACTTTGTGTTCTCGCTTTAGTAATCTCTTAAAGCTTACTGATATTACAAAAAAAAAATGTATGTTACAATATAATTTAGAGAGTTCGTTTCCTATGATATGTTGCTTGTACTCGTTGTATCGTGAGTCATTTTGTTAATTTGGTTTTCTGTTTTATTCCACAAACATGCTTTGTTTATTTTGATTGAGCATAATAAGATGCAACGTTTGTAAATATCCCACTACTATTGTACTGTAGATCGACCTGTGTAGCCTGGCGCTGGCTCGGAATATTTTCTTGCGCGATCTCGTACCAGCTCGTCGATCGACTTATTTTGCGGTATGGTCGAGGATAAATTATGTAGACGAGTCGCGAGATAGCACATGATAAAGGCTGATAAAACAAGAAGTGCTCCTAGCCCGGTTGCAACGTATAGAAAGCTACCGCAGCTATTTTCAATTCCAGCAGTCACTTTTTGATATAAATCTGCAAGTTAGCAAATTAATACAATTAATGGTATTTTCACGTTGCATATTAATCTTTTGATATTTTGTCATAGTAGAAGTATATGTATTCAAGCGTATTAATGTTAAAGAATTATGTTTGAATTTATAACTCACCATCAGGCATCATCACCGTGTACTCAATATTTTCTTTGAACTTTGTGTAAGGCGTCGAATCGTTGTATTCTTTTATTAAGCGATCTAACTTAGGAAGAAATTCATTTGGCGCCTCTTTAGCAGATCTTTTCCTCTTCTTTCCGTGTCCCGATGGTTCGAAAAGATCGAGACAGAAATCCTGCGAATCAATGTATTCATTATATGGAATATTTATCAATATTCACGCTATTCTAAATAGAACTTTAATATTTTTCCGTGAATGTCAATCTTATTTTTCTTTCAATTTAAGCACTTACATTGTACGATGTACGATAAAATATTCATTTTACATTAAATGCTTGTATCTGAGTTAACATTCACGAAAGTATCGATTTCATTTGCAATTCAATATTACACGCACAAATAATAAACGACCTGTCTTTTATTCTATAATTGCGATATACCGCACAGTTTATTGTACAACTAATAAAAAAAATATGTATTCAAATGTGAATAATATTTTCTTCAAATGAGTGCAATTGTAAATCTCTGTAAATGTACCATTGTATGATTTAAAACAAAAGTATCCTTTCCCTTTTTCTAATCACATTTATATCGTAATCTGTATGGTGAAACATATTGTCCAAATGATCCTTCATTTGAACATTCGTCATTTCTATTGTATTTTAATAAAACTTTCACCGTGACAATACCCAAGAATAAAAATCTTGCGTTCTCTACTAAAACTGTCCACGTTCAAGAGAAGCACGCGTAAACGACGTTTCAGGAAGCCGCAATCTCGTTGTAACTCCGTGAAAACAGGGCAAAAGGACGACGTTTTTGTTACCGTAGATTGCGTATTACAAGCGAACAGGTCAATAGGAACTTATTCAAACGTCAACCGAAGAGAGAAGCTTGACCGCAAATTATGTCCTTACCGGCTGGCAGTCCTGCGGTTCCATGCAGGCCTTAATCTGCGAGTGAATCCAAAGTGTGGATCGTTCTCTCATCGAGCTGAGCAGAAATGCTTCAAAATCGAGGAAAACCTCGTTCTTTCTCTCCCGATAGCGAGCCGGCTGATGTGGAATAATAGACGCGAAATCTCGATTTCTGCAACCGTCCTTCACCAACACGACACTTCCTGGTGCGTGAGGCTGATCAGGATCAGGGCTAACGGTCACCTCGAGCAGTTTAATGTAACCCCATGCACTGTCCGGACTGATTCGAGCTCTTAACTGAAGCTTCGTGCCGATTGGAACCGCTTGATCGACAGTCTGCGATCCTGACGCGTCTGATACATTGCCGGTAGCCTCGCGGTAAAGGGCCACTTCGTATTCTAAGCGTCCTGGAGTCTCCTCGACCACTCCGGACACCCTGGCACCGTGCGGACTGGAAGAAATAGTTTTTGCAAGAAAATATTCGAGAAAATTTGGAAATTTCAAATTTTTTCTCGATAAAAAGTAGCTAATTTTATTGCATACGTATAAAAATGCATTGAAAAATTGATATATCTATGTATGTATCGATGAAACTGTTCTTATTATTTGTAATAATAAGTGTTCTTTTTGTATTTCATTGAAAATTTTCTCTCTAAAATTTTGCTTGCATTTTAATGACAATAATTGGAAATTTTATATCTGTATTGTTTGTAATAATGTTTTTTCTTTGCATTTTATTGGAAATTTTCTGTAATTGGTAGAACTAAATGATTAAATAGTTAGATTTGTTAAATATTTTGAAAATGACTCTATACGTTGTAGTTTCATTGAAGTTGTAATTCACGTCTATTTAACGTCTATTTAGAGAAATCGATATCAGATGATACGCGACCTTGTCAAAGTGGAGCAACGACTTACAAGGTTCCAGCAAAACCAGCGGCTTTGTGTCGGAGTAACGTGGGCTCAGGTGGCCGACACATCAAGATCAGTTCTTGATCCGCTAGCATTACGACACCGGGGAAGGCCGGGAACCATATTCGCAGGTGAATGAAACCCTGATAACAATGAAAATTTTCCTCCTTCTTTAACGTTCCTTGTTAATTCCTTTCTCAAAAAAAGAAAAAAATCAGAAAAATATTTGCGGAGACGTTCGGTGTTATTAGGCTAAATATAGTACTGGATTCTCGATTTCACAGATAAAAAGAGACTTTTGCGGATTAAGGCGCAAATAAAGGAAAAGTTTGACGATTTTTTGGGGAGATAAGTTTCAGGGCGATGAAATTTCTGTATTTTGGAACCTTAGATTCGCGAAATTCAGAACTTTGGCTTTCTATATTTTGGAACCTTAAATTCGCGAAATTTAGAACTTTGGCTTTCTATATTTTGGAACCTTAAATTCGCGAAATTTAGAATTTAGATTTTCTATATTTAGGAACCTTAGATTCGCGAAATTTAGAACTTCAAAAGAACCTTAAAAATTCAGAAGGTAGGAAGTCCGTAAAGGCACAAAAATTAATCCAAAAGTATCTCAAAAGGCTCCAACCGTACAAGCGCGAAAAAATATTCAAAATTCCTACAGACACCCAACATCAATGAAAGGGTTAAAACTTTCACAGGACATCTATCCTCCCTTCAAACTACACCACACAAAAGAAAAAAATTACGTGAACGCGATTAGCCTTGCCAAAAGAAAAAAAAGTCTAACTTTTTTATTCACATGACAATCACATGTACCGTTCTCTACATCCCTTCTCTCTCCCCTCTTCCTATAATCACAGATCTCTTGAAATTCGAAACTGGACGATAATCGAGTTCTACGATTAGTTGCGTAACAGGCAGGTGGATAGGCAACTATTAGGCTGAATCGGGTTTCGTTTATATCGTAGCACACGATGGTGTACGTCGCCGATAGACCGGAATCAGTTTGCGCGGCCGGCGGCGGGAAATCACGAAATCTCGATCGATGACTCACGTTTCTCTTCAGGATGCCGCATCTCGAGAAGTCAGTCACCTTCAGGAAGTAGTTATCTTCCTGTGGATCGTTGGGATCTGGCCTGATCTGGCAGTGAATGTCGGTGAGAGGATTGGCGGATCTGTCGTCGGCAAAGAGCGGCGCCCCTCTGAAGCCGACTGGCCTTTTGATCTTCGCTGTCAGGAGATCGGCGGCTGATCCTGTGCCGCTGCACTGAATGTCAGAGACCTCGTAATCCTGGGCAACGGTCGCGGCAACCTGAAACAATACCACCGGGCCATTCATCTACACGGTTTTACACGGTACGTATGTAAATTCGTTTTACGTTCTTACACGCGTACGTGTGTACGTACGCTCGGGCTACGGTTCCTGTTCACAAGAACGAGGACGAACGCATGAATTTGCGTGGCCAGGTTGAAGTTACGTTAATGGTAAATAACAGATTAATCTGTTGTCCAAGTTTCTTGCAATTTGCGCGGAACTTTCGGGAGGAAGGTAGAATGCCAGACTTGGAATGAAGTATGTTAAATTTGCGGTGTGTTTATTATTCCACGTGAAAGCAGTGTTGACTGAAGTATTTTTTATTTGGAAGATTTTTTAGATTGTTTTATGCGGATTTGTAATATCTTTTTTTATTTATATCTCGTCGAAAGTTTTTTCGAATTTTTTTAGAAAGAATGAAGAAAAATAGTAATGATGGAACGATTGAAGTATTTTTTATGTTAAAGATTTTAATTTGTTTTATATGATAATATATGTTATCTGCATTCTATCGATTAACAGAGATAAATAGGGGGAAATGATGCTTCACAGTATACTTTAATATGCGATTAACTTTATTTGCACGTATAAATCATACTTTTCCATACTATTTCAAAGTCGTTTAATTTCACCTGCGGTTGCACGTTCCACGCGGTATTTGAACTTTACTTTTTACGCTGCACATTAACGGCGTCCCAATTTAAGGAACGGTTTCTTTAAGTCTTGCCTGACAAGATGAGGTTAAAATGATCCATGCTGTTCTTTTTTTCAACCGATCTTATCTACAGCAAAGTTTACGTGAAACGTTGTGTACGCGAATCCCTCGGTGAAATATCTCAAGCACTTGAGAATATTCGCACGAAATAACGTGTTAGAATTGATAAAAATATTCTTCGAATAAATGACATCAGATTATTTCGATCGAGATTAAAATTTGCTCGAACTATCGATAAAGGTATAATACTATCACAACTGTTTTTTTCGATCATCTTTCACTTCATTTAACGTGTCGTCGGTTATCTATGTCGTACCTTTCCACGGCATAATCTTACAAACAATATTAGTCTGCGTTTACACTTCGTTCAATCATTCGAAAATTCAACTGCAATAAAGAAACAAACAAGATAAAAACGGTGAAGAATGTTGTGAATTTGGACGTTAACGAAAGAAAAGCACAATGCAGCCACACGAACGGAGAATTTCTTATTTGAGCGGACGCTCCGCGGTGGTCCGCGTGTATTAATCATTTACATACTTCCCTAACAAACTTCTCAACTATTTCACCACGAAATAACATCTGTTCAGCTGTGTCACTGCCCTAGACATGCTTGCCTTATTTTTTCTTTCGAACATCTGGCCTGACACGTTAGTTGACCTCTTGCTACCCAGAGCAAGTGATCACTGTTCCACTTAAGGGGGAAAATCGATATTTTTTTTTTTTTTGACATTTTTGCACTCTTCGTAGTCTGGAGAATATGTCTGCTGATCTCTCGAAATTGGATAAATTGTAAGAACTATCGCAGATCTTGGAAAATCTTTAAACGTGGTTTTCTCGAAACCAAGTTTTCCGAAGCTCTCCCTGGGTTTCCCCGGAAACCATTGCACCGATTGCTTTCCCCGTTATACTGCATACTCGGAACATCTATCGCTATCGTTCTACCCAAAATCAGATCGATATTTCCAAAATTTCTCTTTTTTTGCCACTTTGAAACTCACGAAAACTACCAGAAAAAACGTATTTTTCACTTTAACCCATTGCCATTTAACAGAAAAATTTTTTAAATTCACAATCATGGTTGGGTCAATAGTGACACTCTTAAGGATTAAGAAAACACCTGGTTCAATATTTTCTGAGCAATGGTGAAGCCGTCAGCTTTGGAAATTGTGAAATCTAAAAAATCGACCGTCTGAGCGTTCGAAGAAAAATTCATCTGAATTTAGTATCCATTACAGATCGATGAATAAGTAAGAAATTCTTAAAAAAAATGATCCAGTCACGAAAGCGTTAATTAACGTGGATCACCTTGATCCTCTTGCTCGATATCTCGAGTTAAGACGTACGTACATAAGTCTTGAACGTCTGCGGCGATGTCCAGCGCGGCATAAAACTTCGATATGAAACAAGGTGACCAACACGCGAGCAGAGTAGACTTCAATACGAGTAACGGTGTAAAGAAACGCTCTGGTGCACGCCTAAGTTATTCGTTATATGCGTACCATACAGGTTGCCCATCGTACGGTCAGCCAGACGTATAATTGTGGTACAGGTCATGGTTATTTCTCCGAGGTAGGTCAATCGAGCTTTCAACATCGGTTGATTTTCACGATAAAGTTACATAGATAAAGGGGGGAAACAAGAGATAAAAATGGTGAAGAATGCCGTGAGTTTGGGCGTTGATAAAAAAAAAAAAAAGAACAGTGCAGTAATATAGAACGGAGAATTTCATAGTTCGATAAAGTTGATAAACTGACAAGCCAAGGCTATAATTTTATAATTAGCAGAATTCTTTCCACGTGTTCTAACCACGTATGAACGAATATGTAATTTTATGAAATATGTTATATCACACAGTTTTCTTGTTGCAACAGAAATTATAGTCACTTTGAATGAAATCGAAGCAAAGAATTGAATTTGAATTTTTAGTATCGGACTAATGGTGCAGATCCTTTTAATTGTTGTATATTAGAGAAATATTTATTGAAATTTTCCTTCATTTGCATGTTTAAATTTGAATTGATTAAGGAATAAAAAAAAGGTCGATAAAGAAACTCTCGATGTCGAATTTGTCGTCGATGGTGTTTAATCCATCGTTTCATTTAGGCAACAATTAAACTTAAATTGTACGCAAAACCGCGTAATCATTATGGCGCACGTAAAATACATAGAGCCATGCATGGTAGATGTCATTACAATTAATAATCCAATATCAATTGAGTGGAATATTCATTTGCTAATTCTAGTCCTTTTATTGCGTTTTCAAACATTAATTATTATACACCAGAAAGCGGAAATTCCTGATAAACAAACGAACAGTGTTCGATCATTCACTTACAATTAGTGTAACTATAAACAAAAATATTTAAATTGTATTATCGTTAGTGCAATTAGGAAAATAATTCCTTGACAGAAAAACATACGGTTAAAAGTCTTATCTGTGCAATTTTTAGGATTTAATAAAATAATTTGTTTGACTATTTGTCTGATATGAAAATTTTTATAATTTTATAAACTGTATCATCTATATTAACGACTAAATAATTTAAGTACGTCTGTTATACCGGCGAGCTAATTTTCATTTTAAAAATCAGATTAATTAATGTTTCGAAGCGATGATAGAAACTTTACAAACATTTTGGTAATTAGATTCTGATCGAAGTATACTATAGAAAGTAAGAACTTTTACGAAAGCTGAGATAATTCACTAGTAATCAGCAGAGAGAAACATAGTTCTCTCGAGGAATTTTTATCAGCAAACTAAATCGATATTAAAGCGTGTATTTTAACAATCGTAAAAGTTAATGTTTTAAAACCTATCTGTGTATACGGTATACACTTTGGTACAGTTTATATTTATTAAATATCGCGGTAATCTTTAACGAAGTACACGAAGATAACAGAAATATTCGTTTGCTTCCTGCATTATGTTTCTGTATCAGCGAAAATACGAAATTTCGGGTCGGAACTGAATTGAAATATCTCAATTCCGATTTATTGTACGAATTTTCGGATCACATCAGGTTCACCCAATTTTCCGTAGAAATTTTTTAACGAACGTCCCCTTTCGAGTTCGAGATGATAAGTTGCTCGGACTGTACCTCTGCCGACTACACTGCATATTAATTAACACGGTATTAAATCATACAGTATTATAAATAATTCATCAGTGTTTCCGTGTTGTCGTTTTAATCAGCAATTAAGATGGTTCCAAGTATAGGTGAGATATTCTATTTCAAAGTTGTTAGTGGCATTTTCATTTTTAACGAGGGTTTGTCTAGTGACGAAAACTGTTAACCCTTTCACTAATAAGCGCTTTGAAAATTTGCTATTGGCACACTTTCTTTGTAATTTAATCCTTAATTTTTCACCTTTTCCCAATTGAATTTAATTTATAGCAAATTTCAAAACAGTTTGACCCCGATTGAACCGTCACGAAGCGCGTTGCGTATTAAAATCAGCCGCCGAGAAAGGGTTAAGGAACCTCCAGATTGCCAAATATTCGTTTGTTTTCATCGAAGTACAAAAAATTTTCACTGTCGCAGTGTACTGTATTCTTTACATTGATTCGTTCTTTTCTACGTTTACATTTGTTTTCACGTCGCGACAGCGAAGAGGACACTTCGAAATAAATCGCTAGAACTTGACGGTCTTGCAGCGGGAATTTTTCGCGTTCGTGTGAACTCACGCATAAACTGTCACGTGTGTTAACCCTTTCGCTGAGGTAAATTTGAATGGTTGACGATAAATATTTAACCACGGCTGAAAATTTTCTCGTTTCGACTGTATCGTTTTAGAATTCTGTTTTTCTTAGTGGATAAAATTAAGTACGGAAATTTTCAAAACAATCTAAAATCTCAAATTGTTTAAATAACTTCAAATCGTCAAAAATCTGCAATAATGCATACAACCACGTAAAATTGATTAAAGAAGAATAAGAATGCGACAAATATGCAGTTAAACCGAGATAAAATGAAGTATCAAGTAAACCCTTTGTAACCTGATTTTTCTACGCGATAAGCTCGAGAAAATTTTCGAAACACTCGTATAGTCGTGAATAGGAAACGAAAGGGGTGAGAGTATTTCTTGTTCCTTTATTATTATAACAGCATCTTAACCGTATCGGAGATCGAAGCGAAAGAAAATACAAAGTTTCTCCATCTGACAGGATCGATGTAATTTCAATGGAATTGGAACATTCGACGATGATTTCCGAATCGTTAAACGAGAACTATTCGCATTAAAGAAGAAACCGTGGGCCGTTCGAAGGGAGAAATAGGAGTGTCTCTCTCTCTCTCTCTGTTACTACTGTGATGGTCGTGACAGTCGAAGTACCCAGTTTGTGGAGTTAATAGAAGTTTGATCAAGCCTTGTTTCAAATGAATGCCAAACTATGGATTGCTACACCAGGCTGAAAGGACTTTTATTGAAACGTTAATGTTTTTTCGATCGACACCGATCGCGACTCAACTCGGCGAAACGAACGCAGAGCAAACTTGTGTGTCGCGAAATTCAATTTAACCTGTGAATAGTAATAGAAACGATTATAGCGGTAATAGTAATGGGCAGGCTCACCGTTCGTAATAGGAATACACCGTATCGAGGCGTTTGTATTTACTTCGCATCAATTCTTCGTTATCGAAACCGGAGTGAGACATTTCGTTTTTATTTTTGTTTTTTCCTACTGCAGAGCAATCTCTTCGGTCGTATACGTATCAATATCGCGAATATATTGCTTGTTTCTTTTTTTTTTGTTAATTTCTTTTATCAGTTGCAAGATATTTCTAATTGCGAAGATCGTTGCCTTCGCAAATTGTGAAATTACGAAATTTCTAAATTGCGTGAGTATTTAAATTTGATGCAATTTAAAGAGCCTAAATTTGTAGGACAATTCAATTTTATCTGTGGTCAGAAGAAAGTTCAATTTTAGTATGATTGTTATATTTTTTGTAACACTTAGGCTTGAAAGATTCCAGTGAAATTTATTTGTAGGTAATTTTAGTTATATTGTTAATACATGTACTTCTTCTACACTGGAAAAGTTGTTATTAAAATTCAATATGAGATTACACGTTAGTGTGAAAGTTGAAGTATTCCATGTTAATCATTCTTGATATAAAGATAGGATATTTAATTGAAGGTTTAAAGTGAGAAAATGATGTATTTTAATGCGTGTATAAAGGGATCAGTGTAAAGATAAGAGAACACTTTAATTACTACATTAAGCCGGTCGTCGTTGATGGTATTTTACTGGTCATTTCGTGGAGTCTATGATAGTAACAATAATAAATTTTATAAATTACGATAATATTTCGATAAATGCCGTAGTAAATCCTGTTTTTCTCGTAGATACGTTATTTTCTTACAAATTCCTATCGTTTTCACATTCAAGAACCGTTTAGAAAGGAAGATAAATTTGAAAATTAATTTTAACACGATTTCCAATTTAATTGAACGAAATAATTTTACCGATAATTCCGTGAAATTTATAAAAAGCGATAGTACTTCGATCCTCTTTTTCTCATATTACCTTCCTACAAATTTTTGTCGCTTTCAGATTTAGCAATTATTCCAAAGAAGGCAAATTTGAAAAATATTTCTAACACGATTCCCGAATTTAATCGAAAAATAAAGAAAAGAATAAAGGAAAATATCAAAGTTTAAAAAGTTGGATCGAGCACCAATGCGAAGACGAAAAAAAAATTGAATCTTCTTACAAAATTTATTGTATCGACAACAAATACACAAACAACAGACGAAACTGTTTTTAGTAAAGTACGCGTAAAAGCGTATTTTACATTTACGCAAAGTGTTACATGCGCATGTGGTACGCTCCGATTCGATAGATGCGCGGAAAGTTAACGGGAAGAGACAAACAGCCGAATCTGTTACGTGAAACTGGCCTCTCTGCTCGCCTCTTTTCTCGAGATTACCTCCTAGATAACTATACGTATATACAGGTATTTTTCCGTGTTTCTTTCTTTCTTTTTTTTTCTCTCCTTCACGAAAGAACCGCAACTGTGCCTTTATGGCGCCATAAATTCCGTTTCTGTTTCCCACTGGCATTTTGGCAGCGCGACATCGAATCATTTCTACACGCCGGAGATTCTTTACATGTTAGCGACATTCTGAGTGTCTTGCTTGGTTCAAGAAACTTTCGAGTCGTTAATAAACGAATGTCACGTGCCTCATTGCGTTATCCATTCAGCCTGTACTTCGAGGCGGTGCAGGTTAATGAAAATTTGTTTAAAAATTGCGGATAAAACGAATGGATTGCTTAGAGTTCACAGCAGAATTACACAGTCTGTCGATTTATTCTTTTACGTTAATTATTTCAGAATTTAAGAAACTTTCTCGAACTAATTTTGCTAGGTATACGTTACTGTTTAAATATACAGGGTGGGTCACTTAAAAATCTTTTTTAGCTATGGTGGTACGAAATAATTTTTATGTGCAATTTAAATGGCTTCGAAGGATGAATAAGATGGAAGAACAATTTTTTTTTAAGGAAGAAATAGCAAAAAAGAAGTTCTACGTTTGATTTAAATGTTTAGTTTAAAGTTATTTTTAGGTTATCAATGTCTGCTACAATGTACAGTAGAAACAAATTTTTCTTTCACTTTATTCTCCCTTTGAAATCATTTGAATTACGTGTAAAAATTTTCACATACCACTGTAGTTAAATAGAGAGGATTTTTTCGTGATCCACCCTGTATGCAACATCTTGGAATAAATCGTATGATGAGATTAACGCATTTTTACATGCAAATTAAATACACACTTGGAGCAATATATTAAAACGATCTTACTAATTAGCACGATAAATTTCATTTCATATACAATTTTAGTTGTCCATTCAATTATCTGCGACTCTTAAATCTGCAATTTAGAAGAGCAGTGGAAATGGAAAAAGTTTGATAGAATACCGCTTTCGTCGAGCGCGTTAAGGGGATTCGAGTTAACATTTCGAAGTGAAAAACGAAGAGGAATCGTACAAATTATACGGAGATAAAACTTTACGTTTCCATCTGAAGGCAAAGTGATCCTTTAAAACCGTAACAAAAAATTTACGGCTAATTTTCACTAAAATCGGAATTTCTGTAATTCGTACACTTAGAACCTTAAAATCAATCTTCCAAGGAAATACAACGAAAGGACGAAAGAAGAAGAAGCTTCAAAATTCATTTTCCTCGGACTCTCAGATCGTCTCAGATAAATATCTCACCGCTTGATCGATGAAAAGTGTCACACACGAGGTCGACAATTCCTTAACCCTTTGAGGACTCGTACATGCGCTCACAAAACACTAGGAACGCAACTAACAAACTTACACATTTTCATGCGATAAAAATAGTTGGAGTGACAGTGAACTTGTACACTATATTTCAGAAAAATGTAATTTTCATACAATTTAATTAAAGAAAAAAACTGAAGTAGCGACTTAATTGTGTGTTACACAAGTAATCGGTGCTTCGACTTTGGTCCTACGTCCGCAAAGAATTAACAGTGGAAGTTCGTCGACGAAAAACAGGCATTCACGCGAATTTCGAAACGGATGCTGTGACCCACCGTGCAAAATCCAGCGATCAGGATGGTCCACATGATCCTCACAGGCGTTCTCTCCTCCTCCTTATCCTTGTACTTTAATCGCAAGCGTGGAACACGCGAGAACACACTTGCTGGCAGGAGGGATTGCACAGAGAGAGGGATGCAATTTTGACGAAGATTCCCGATGAACTGAGGCGCGTGTACCACGCAAGAATTCTCCCTCCGTTGGTAGATGTTCCTCCAACGGGTACCGTCTCCTGGAGGGGAGGAACGGAAATCAGGGAACCAGAGAACCACCGGCCCATCCAGAGTACTGTTAATGCATGCTTGCTGCCTCCGCTAACAACCATCCTTACCGCGTCCTCTTCGCGAGCAGTGACGGACTCGAGCGGACATCGCGTCTCCTCCTCGATCCATCCTCCTTCGGGACTGCTTTCGTCCAGTTTCCTCCTTTCTCTCCGTCTTTTGTCTTTTGAACATTTTTTTTTTTTTGTTTGGTCTTTGGAGAAATTGCTAATACTGGTTGGAGAATGAGACGAGTGATTTTTCATTATTTTCTTTTTTCTTTTTTTGAGGAGGAGATAGGTTGTGTGTTTCAGGTAATAATGAAACTTTTGTAATCAGAATACTGTAATAGGAAGAATGTCAGGCAATCAAACGATGAATTGCAATCTGTGCAGGCATGTGGTGCGTCTTTTTTTTAAACGGTGAAATATAAATTGAATAATCCTGGCTCTTGGGAATTCTCGTAGACGGTTTGTTGATAATGATATCGTTGGAAAATTAGAAAAAAGGAGGAATTTTAATAGAATTGTTCTGTCAATTTTAATGGAACAGTAATAATTTAGATTTTTTTAGTGAATAATTTTTATAGAATACGTTCTGTTAATTTTCCAAAAAGTGTTCCGCGAACGAAATCTTCGTTAAAGTTCGAATCAGAGTAATCTTAATTGACCAAAATTTATTCATTTTCCTTCAACATTTTTTACAACCTACTTGCCTCTGACATTCACAAAGATTTCGTTAGTTTCTTCAATTTTTCCTACGTTCCACTGAGAAAAATTGAAAATATTAGCTTTCTCTAATAGACTTCACTTTTTTTTTTTCAGTTGGCGAAAGGACAACGCGGAGACAGAGGAAAACTAAGAAGCAGGCCATAGAGATGGATGTAGCGCAAAGGAAATCACAAATGGTGAGTCTGTATTTATATGTTTTCTCTATTCGATTCTGTTAAGATAGAACGATCGTTATACGAAGAATAGAAGTGTTCATTAGGCGAGAAGCATTTTTATTGCAAATCAAAATTTCATTTCGGTTTCTTTTACTCGCTGAGGCATTCCAGTCTAGGAAGCTTCAGTGAACTGGCGGAATCGCGAAACATTACGTGATTCTGACATGCATAAAAGGCGAATTGCTTAGCCGGTTGCTGACTTTTCCGGTGCGTTGATTTTGGGTCAATGCCAGTACTCGATTGAACACGTTAAAACACGGCTAGCCTATGACAATATTTAGGTAACGAGGCAATTTTTTAAGTAGAAATGTTCAATTGTTTAAAAAGTCATCATTAATGATAACGATAATTTAATCAACGAAGCTGTTCGACGTGAGAAGTTCTTTATTTAAATACGTTTCATTCACAGGAGTAATTTAATTTCTAAAATTTTTGTTCGTTCCTTCGGAATTTAAGGAAACGCGATGCCTTATTATTTCAGAAAAATTAATAATAGAACTACTTTACAAAATATCTTCAAGTTTGACAAAATTAAAAATTTAATTTTTGTAATAATTAATTTGAATATTATCGATACATTGAATTTAGAGTACTTAAAAATTTAATTTGTGTGAATCAAAAAATTACAATATTTTTATCATTACAAAATTATTCAATTAAATATAATAAATTATACACGACCGCGATAAATTCTAACGACGAAAGGATCAACTCACAGAAACGTTCTCTAACCTTCAAAATAATACAAAAACAAGATCTTCTAATTGTTCCACTGAATAATCTACAATCAACGCGGTCAATTCTTCACACGTTTCATTTTTTCACCATCCTGTCCCAATTAAACACGTCGTAACTTTCGTTCAGTTTCTATGATAAGATTCTCGTAGCGCCTGGAGAAAGACTATATACCCTTCTTTACTTCTCTCCTTTGTAAGTCCGTTCTTACAGAATACATAGCTCGTAAAATCAACGTATATATATGTACTTTGATCGTTTTAATGCTCTGAATAACTCTGAACCTGCAAACTCTTGATCAAGAGAGTAACGAAGTTCTCTGGTCTGGTTGAATTTTATTTTTCACCAGTAGCGTTGCTTTCATCGAACCAGCGCAGCGGTCAGATGCCTGGGTAAAAAGTGAAAATGACGTTGTGTGTTGGTCGTCATTTTCGTGTTCCCAGTTTACTGTACTTGTCACTGACTGAACGACTAATAGAGCACCCAGTGCGATGTCACGCGTTCGAACGCACCGAGAGATTCTCCGGGAAATTGCTCTCCCGTTATTTTCTGTCTGTCCCCGGGAACCCCGCGTGTGAATCATCGTCGATGACCGTACGCTACGGAATGATTGCTTTTTAATGAAAATCGAATCGTCCTCTCTCGACCCTCCACTTTAACGTGGCACACGCTCCCTTAACGAGGGATCTGTTTCCACTGTGGCACGCGTATACTCTTTGTAATTACGTTTGTTACGCGGCCTCGCTTGGCAGAGGTTTAGCAATAATCGTTGACCGTTATCATTTGTTACGCTTCAAGACGGAAAATGTATCCGTTAGTTTGCGCATTACGAAAGTGTTGATCATGAAAACTGAAACTGTAAATGCTCGAGGATTTTTCCTCGTTTCCTTTTTCTATCCGCGTTCAAACTTTGTTTCGTTGCCTCTCTTTGAAGAAGAAAAAGTTTCTGTTTTATACTTTGTATTTTTTCATTCGGTATTTTTGTAAACTTTTGCGTATTCTATTTTGTATTTTTTTCATTCGGTATTTCTGTATTGAATTATACGTGTGAACGATTAGTTATCGAAACTTTTAGTCGGAGATGTGAATTGGTGTAGAATTAAAAAGAATTTATTTAAACCTGTAAGAACATAAATCCTTCAATAGAGATGTTTAGTTGAAGTCCCCTGGTATGATTATAGTGTTAAACGCATATAAAAAAGAGCGATGGGTTATAAATCATAAATTGCAGTCATTATCGTTTTTCATGCTTTCCTCGCTATTATATATGCAATTATAGTTAGCGGAATAATGGAAATTGTGTATTTTAATTATTTATCTATCTGTGAAGCTTAAACTTGAGACGGATGAACGATAGGTATTCGGAAGTCGAGAATTCCGTGAAGGCAGAAATCCGAGACTCGCGAAAAATGGAGGATTACGGTGTAATAAAATTGCAAAAAGGCGTTTGCGTATCGCACCGGTGAATACTCTCTGAAATGGTTTTGAACAGTACCACGATGGTCGTGTGAATTCTATATCGTGTTTCGTAAAATTAGTTTCATTTGGAATATACGCTAGTGACAAACGACAATTTACAAATTTTACGTTTTTCGTAGCTTCTGCTTTAGGAAACTCTACATTTTTGCATCGTTTCTAAGTTTAAATAATTAGAGGTTATTAGAATATCAAGTTACATACTACCAGCTGTATTCATTTGTGTACAAATTTGAAACGTCGTACAGAGTAGATGTTAGGTTAGGATACATACTGAAAATACTCGTGCATTCACAGTATGTAGATATCGATATTTATCATATCCTACGGTTGAATTTATTTCTTCGATTTTTCTGTTATTACTATTTCGACAACAAAAGTTTAATAAAAGTTTAACCAACACTATCGTCAGATTATTAATTATCGCTATACTTTCTTATGGTCACCGGCTCTCAATTAACGAGCCTCCCAGTAGTAGCAATTTCCTTTTCGCTGCCTGTTACAGTAATCGTGATGCAGTAGGAGTATTTCGTGTTCTACGGTTCGCTGTCCGCGAAAAGAAATTAACAAGACCAGGTTGATTGTCCGACAGTTCAGAATACACACAATTACTTCCTATCAAAATATTAGTACATTAATTGTTCTTTTGCATTCGAGTCATCATTGACGTATATATGAGTTTCAATTGATAACGTATTCTTTACAATACTGCTTAGATATATTTCATTCTTTACTCACATTTTTTTACAAAGTGTTTAATGTTATCTATCCTCTGTATGTTTGAAGAATCGATAAACGTTCAACTTTTTACTTGTATTTTTTGAAAAATAAATAACTCAAGAATTATCGAGGTAAAGTCCCGAGTAGTACTAATATTAGATAGTGTTTAAAAAATATGACATTTTTTTTAAGTAAATATCAAGAAACGTTTCTACTAACAATTTAATAAACAGCTAACAGTAATTAAAATTAAATATTAGA